AAGTATTCGGAGCCGGTTAGGAAGTTTACCAATCCTAGGAATAACCAAATTAGTCCCTTTAAGGCCACGCAGAAGGTTCAGCTCCTCTCTCGACTTCTTGTCCAGCAAGCATTTGGTGTCAATTACAATAATCCACTTGTCTTTTGCAACCTTTGTTGTTTTATTCTGCAAAATTTGCATTCAAATTCAAGACAATTTTGAATATGCACCATTTAAATATGACAGAAAAAAATATGTCTGTTTGTTTTAACTCACATTCAAGCAATTTACCTCTTCAGGCTCAGCATACTTGATACACTTGCTATCTTTCATAGTGTTATCCTCACAAACCGTGGTTTTCGAGTTGCTCTTATGGCCACTAAGAGATTCGAGAGGCAAAGGGCAAAAGGGTACCCTCCTATTTGCTGTGCCTTCTGACAGAGCCAACTCTTTCTTCGAGCTACCATGCAATTTAGAAGCAGAATTTGTCGATTTTGCATCTAAAGAACGGGCCACGGTTTCCTCTCGATACATGTTACTATTATACGCTTTACTCAATGGCGATGATCTATGTGAAGAACTTGGGTTTTTACCTGCAGCATTTTTCATGGACCTAAGCAGATGACTGCCTGGAGTCATATTTTCTTTGTCGGGAGCAAAAATTTCTTCATCAAGGTCATTGTTTAATCTTTCTCTCTTTCCACTCTTTAAGGTTTTGAGTAGGAGTGAACCGGGAGAGTCATTATTCTCCTTGTCCAGCATGAAATTTTCTTCCTCGTTATTATCAAGATACATTGGAATCATCGATTCACTGTTTTCATTTTCATCGATAAAAGATTTTTCAACCTGCGAGCTTGTGTTGATGATTCTTGCAGATTTTCCTCTGAGCCGGCTGGTCTCAATACGAACACTTTCAGGTTTTCCCCTTCTCGACCAAATGTTAAGACCCGATTTTTTCTTTGAATTTGTCATACTATTATCCGAAATTTCTATCAGGTCACAAGAGGTGCCGTTTTCTTGACTGCAAAATCCAGGTGAACTGCATTTCTCTATTTCCTCAATGGAAACTGAATTGTGCAAGTCTTCAGACGCCATAGGACTCGTTTCTTGAACAGAAGAACCAAAATTTTCATCTAGAAATAGCCGTTCTAGGCCTTCCAAATCATCCCCCATGGCCTCAACTTGATCATTTCTATCAAACAACATGTGCTGATCCTAAAATAACAAAAACAAAGACTCAGAACAAGAA